TCCTATCCTTAATAACATCTTATGTCAACTAAATACTGTGCAAAACAAATATGGTCTTAAGTGTCCAGTGACACAGCTTTCATTGGTTATTTCAGACTAAATTTAACACTTCCTCAAAGAGCCAGAGTGTACTGGTTTATAAAAGTTTCTCAGTACAGTAACATCTGAGGTTTTAAGGGGGTAGCTGCCACAATAACTGCAGGTTGTTGTTATTTGGGAGGTTTGGGGTCTTATCCTGAATTAATAACATGAAAGAGGGAGGTCTGCAGGGAACTCTGTTCACAGGTTCATGGTAGTCAATTACTGAGTGAATATCACTGTCATACAACCTCAAGCAGTGTTTGGAGCTTTAACATGTTTCAAATATGCCACCTTAGTGTGAGAGGTTAAACTTTATTCCTATGTCCAGGGGTTAGCATATTGTGGCCTTCATACACTGCACACTTAGACATGGCTCAGACTGACAGTTGTTGTGCACGGAGTCCAATATGTTAAAGCCACACATCCATGTGAGCAACATCCATATTTAAATCCTCCAGCGTGACAATAAAAACACTTCTTCAAAACTTCACACAGCTCCGCCTGCAAACCCCCAGCTGCCCATCCCCTTTTACAAAGAGGCTGAAGAGGAACAGTTTCAACAATTTTACAACCTCTGCTGGCAGAAAGAAATGGGGTCCGCAATGACCCTGTAATCTCTGTGCAACACACACAAAACCAGACTTTTCCTGTGGGAGGTGCCACAGCTCCCTGTTCTCAAGAACAGTTGGTTTATTCAGCGATTGACCCTGAACAGTGCACCTCAACTCCAGATTAAACTCAGAACTTTTCACCTATGTGAACATGCATCCCGCCTGTAGACACCTGTGATCATGTTACCATGCTACTACCAGTCTGCACGTGATGATGCTCAGCCCAATAACGTGCTGAATATAACTCTGCAGATAATCACAGAGTGCTGTTCTCAGCCCTTGTTTGACAACATCCCTGACTGCTGTGATACCCTCACATCTGGTCTGAGCAGCTGCTGGCAGACAGACGTCTGAGCAGCTCCTGGGAGTACTAGGTCTTAGCACCTCTGATCATGTTACCATGCTACTACCAGTCTGCACGTGATGATGCTCAGCCCAATAACGTGCTGAATATAACTCTGCAGATAATCACAGAGTGCTGTTCTCAGCCCTTGTTTGACAACATCCCTGACTGCTGGCTTCTGGCAGACAGACGTCTGAGCAGCTGCTGGCAGACAGACGTCTGAGCAGCTCTTGGCAGACAGACGTCTGAGCAGCTCTTGGCAGACAGACGTCTGAGCAGCTCCTGGCAGACAGATGTCTGAGCAGCTGCTGGCAGCTGTCGGTGTGATGTCATAGTGAGAGCTAATGTGTAGGTGTGAAGAGTGTCTGTGCTCTGTGTGCTGTCACTAAACATCAAATCAAACCCAAACATCATGCTCACACACCTATCAGTGCATCCTCAGTGTTTTCACACTTGTAGTTTGCTTACACAAACAGCCTGCAGTGCTGTAACTCTGTGACCGATACCAGCTCAGTCTGCTACAGACAGCTCTAAGATCACTGACAGATCATGTCATCAGCTGTGGCTAAGGTCAGGGTGAGGTTACCTTTGAGGGCAGGCAGCTTCTGCAGCTCTCGGTTCTTGGTCAGGCTGAAGCGGGACGAGCTCTGGCGGCGCTCCTTCTTCACCAGCTGAGGACCTCCAGAGTACTTGATCTTGTTAAGCTGAGTGGGGGGAGGCGTGCTGTTACTGGGACGCTTGTTGCCGCTCTGCTGCTGCTGTAGCTGAACACACACACACACACACACACACGAAACACGTACAATAGATCTGTTACACTTCCCCTCACTGATGCATCCTGGGAGGTGGAGTTCTGGGGTTAAGACCAACATATTCTGTGTCCAGAGTGCGTGCAAGCAGGAACTTAGATTGACAGGCAGATAGGCCATCCAGTGGTTTTGCTTGGACAGAATACATTTACTGGTCAGGCGTTTTTCAGCCCTGCTGCTGCCACAAACAGAATTCTTTCTTTATGTTGTCAGTGCATTCAATGTATTCATTACCATTAGGATGAAAAGAGAATTTCAAGAACTGTAACAATAAAAGCTTCTGAAATGAATCACCAACACTACCTTAAAGCCTTCTAAAACTAATGATTTGTGTTTTCTTTGTCACATCAGAGAGAAAACTAAACATTTAAGTTGCACAGTGTTGAATAACTCATCGTGGGCTTTTGGAAATGACAGCAAGCACCTTTCACTACGCATCAATGCCAATACCAGGATCAGCTCGGATACCACCCTCTAGTACCTGTACTCACAAAAGTTGTCCGATACTACATTTTCAAGGTATGATAACCATCTCAGAAAATATCAGTGTCACGGTATTACTATTATCAGCTATAATGACCCTCAAAGGAACGAAAACACCGACAACTGATTGAGCTGGATTGCTGCACTAGATTGACCCTGAAGAATAAACAGAAATCAAACAACTTTTACAAGTAGAAGTATTAGAGGATGGTACCAGGCCCAATAGGCAATATTGGTTTCGGCACATCCCTAATTTTTACACTGTAAAACGTGGGGCTGGATCTACACTCTTTAAACAACATAAGCAAGGGTGCAAATCTCAGGCAATATTTTGTTCTGGGATTCTTAGTCATCAGCTATCAGCCTCAGAACTGCACTACCAGTCAGACAGTACAGTAGCACGGTGCCGTACTGAACAGAACATCCATCAATAGGAGCTCTTTTCAGTCTGCAGACATTTAAACACTGTGCTCTTCCTGTCTGTTCACAACATCAGCTGCAGGTGTGGCTACTGATGTTCACATATGGTCAGATGACGTGGTGCTTTAGACCTCCCACAGGACAAACTGTGACCACGTTCACAATTGTTTCTGCTGCAGCTGCAAACAACCTGGTCGCTGAGCCCGGTCGTAACTGTATCTTAGGAGGCTGCTCACTGTTTCTGGTTCAGAGCAGCAGGTACACTACACCTGAACCCTATCACCTGCTCCTCATTAACTGCCTGTGTAAACAAGCTGCCACTAACAGAATAGAGCAAGGTGTCTCCACAGATGGAGAAAAGACATTATAAACAGTGGAAGCAAAGAGAGTTTCCCCCAAGTCTAGTATATGGTCAGCGCCATGTGGCGCAGAATAACCTGGACTGAGACATTTTTTGTGGACAGTCACGTCTGAGGTTGAGGTTCCACACTGACTTTAGGTGAATGGACTGTGGCGCGAGGTTAGCTCTGTGTGCATCACTAATCTGGAAATCACCACCGTAGGCCAGAATACACAGTGCTGGTTTACAACATGTTTAAAGGGAACATCTCTGACTGGCAGCTGACTGAACAGAGTCCCGATGTGATGAATGGGTCAGCTCAGTGACAATCATTTCCTCTTCTGTCTACATGCAAGGGGTCAGAAGTAAGGATTAATAATGGACGAAGTCCGCTCTTGGTTAATGTGTATCAAGAGAAACAAACAAACAAAAAAACATTCATATTTCTGCAGTCAAATTCTGCAGCCCATTTAGCCTCTATCTCTACAGAATATGTCCCTTCGTCGTCTCCTCATTTTTTGGGTTTCACTTATTTTCCTTAGATTAGCCAATAAAAACTCAGTTGTGGGTGTATTAAGTACACCTCGCTAAAACTAACGCGAGGATAATCTGATAAGTATTTGGGTTGAGGACCCTCGTGTGCACAGTCACCCTGTCAGGCTACGGCAGCAGGTTAACGTAGGTGGTGCTTGTGGGGTCAACACGAAGACATAAACAAACGCTGTGGAAAATGAGTGACCACGAGGCGTGTCAGATGACTGCCCACTGAAACCGTTCTGTGTGGACTATGTGATGCCGACGTGCACCCTGTACCTCCATCAGAGGCCTCAGCATGTGATACGTTTCCAGGTCACACTCACCTCTTCTGAGTTCTCTGCAGCAGCATCTTTCCCGCTGCTGCCAGTGTTGCTGTTCTTCGAGCTGCTTTTGGCAGATTTGGTCGTTTCCTATTGACACAGAATAAAGGTGTTTAGTACAGAGAGAAACAAACTGGTGGAAACTTCAGGTACGAGCTGTTCTCATCCCTGATCAATCAAACTGATTTTCTCGATTAACTGATTAATCTTCAAAACGTTGCTTCAGTTTCAGTTTGACAGCGATTCTGCAGCTGTAACCCAAAAAATGTTGGCAGAGCTGCAGCTAAAGGATATGGTCATTTTTGATCGAACTACATGGTCTGCAAAATGTCAAAGACTTATAAAAAAAAAATGCCAAGGTGATGTTTGTAAATGTCCTTTTTTTGTCCACCTGACAGTGAAACCCACATGTGCAGGGTACTGGGACAGAGGGAAGCACAACAGCTTAATCAGCTGATCAGTCCACACAGCAAACTTTATTTAAATAATGATCACTTCCACAAAACAACGTGCCCTCAGCACAGTCACTCCTCATCAAAAGTGAATACAAATGATTTAATCTCTAATGCATCAATTATCATCCTGTTCCATGTGAGCCTGACATCTCTGTGCAGCCTGGAACTATCAAACTCTATATGTTCATCAAATGTGTGAATCAGAACCTGTACCTAAACATGACACCACATATCTGCTCAGGTCCATGATGTGCTTCACTGAGTCAGTAACCAGCCAGGTCCTGACTTAAATCTAAACCCATCTAGTTGTGCAGTGTTTATCCATCTCACCGCTTCTGGTCCAAAACAGAGCTGCCTGTGCTCCCAACATGTCTGAAACACAGGTGTTTTCACAGTTTAGCCCCATAATGAACTGAAGACAGAGTTGTACATCTGAACCAGCCAGTGTGTGCAGAGCAGACAATGAGCTGTGGATAAGACCAAGTGAATCCTGCAGCATCTGATTTTGAAGACACTAAAGCTTTGTCTGAATTAGGGAGGACTGACAGCTGAAACATCTCCAACAATCAGTTGATTAATCCATCAGCCAATGGCCAGATCAGTAATCCGCAGCAATTCTGATAACGGATTCATCATTTAGGTCATTTTTCAAGCTGAAGTCCCCCAGAAGTTCTGTTTTCTGTTGCCAAATCTCTTTGGTCAAACAAATATGTGAAGATGACACCTTGGACTCTGAGAAACTGTGACGGACCTCTTATCGACTAACTGACTAATCAACTAATCAACTCATCTTATTTTAATTTTCTTTATCTGTCATTTTATTTGATTAATCAATAAATCGTTGTGATGTTTGATTGGCTAATGGAGACTGCTAAATTATGCAAATTAGCTGATTATTAAAATTGCTCTCAATCAACTACTTGTTTAAGATTTTAGTGCTCAATCCATCCATTAATTTTATGATGAGATGATTAATCTTTATATCAGAAAACAGTGTATATGCTTGTTGCTGCTAAACATTTGACTGTGGATCAATGGACGGACTCACTGTTTTAACTCTGCTCTAATTTGCAGTAAACACAGATGTGGCTGGTTTTAATGAACTGCTCTCCTCAGACTTACCATCAGTGGAACCACCTTTATTTTACAGCATAATGCAAATAAATCTGTATTTTGCACAGATTATTTTAATTACCTATAACCATCCAAACTGCATAGTCTGTACTTGCAATGAAATTCAGAGAGAGGAAAACACAGTAAATGGGAAAATTGCCACCTTTCCACATCTGGGTTTTACCCCCTCTGGCCGGAGGTTCAGACGTGTGAAGTGTAGGACTTCCAGACTGAAAAACTCTTTCTTTCCCTCTGCCATCAAACGTCTAAACAGCTGAGGAGTTTATTACCAGGAATACACCATGTACCGACGACCTGTACTGTTTACATTCTCAGTTTGACTGTTGACTACTGCACATGTTGTTCATGCAGCATGAAAGAAAGTCACTTTCGGGTTTTCCCGTTTTAGGGGTCGCCACAGCAAATCGTCACACTGACACTGTCCTTCCTGACACAACCCTGATTCGAACCCGGGACTGCTCCCATGCAGCATACATTCTCTTATTCTTATATATTTTTACTATATTGCTGCATCTGCACTGCTTAAAAGTGCCTTAGATTTTGTGTTACTTATTTATCTACTTTATATTTCATTTGTATTTTGTGGCATTCATGTGGACGGCAAAGTAAGAATTTCATTGTACAGGGAAACACGTTTCCAGTGCCTGTTGGACTCCGGCAGGGCTGCCCTTTATCACCGGTTCTGTTCATTATTTTTATGGACAGAATTTCTAGGTGCAGCCAGGGGCCGGAGGGAGTCCGGTTTGGGGACCACAGGATCTCGTCTCTGCTTTTTGCAGACGACGTTGTCCTGTTGGCCCCATCAAACCAGGACCTCCAGCATGCACTGGGGCAGTTTGCAGCTGAGTGTGAAGTGGCTGGCATGAGAATCAGCACCTCCAAATCCAAGGCCATGGTTCTCAGTCGGAAAAGGGTGGCTTGTTCCCTTCAGGTTGGTGGAGAGTTCCTGCTTC